TTAATAGCCTTATTAATGTGTTTAATTACATGCATTGTATATTCCACTTCACCACAATTGTGTCTATATACTTGTATTAGGATGTGTTGCCAATGCCAGTTCTTCACTATTGCTTTCTACACCTTTTACACATTCTTTGTATCTAATGTTCAGTCACCTTTCTGTCTGAATGAGAACCAATCACCTGACAGCAGGTACAGGGGCAACGCCAAGGGTGTCAGGTATATTAAATTTACTTCAAACAAAGGGCAACAGGGAACACGTGTCTATATTCAGTCACACATTGTCACACATCTTTAGAGAATCGTTACCTTGTTACAAATCCTCAACACAATGACACCTCTATGTTATTACATGGATACAGATGGCATGGGAGACAGAAAGCAAATGATAAACTTCAGCATTTATAGATCCTGGGAACTCTATGATGTAGTACCAAAGCACTGCTCAGTGGATTAGACAGACAAAGAAAATATGAAGGATTTTTCTGGTATAGAATTTACGACAAACATTCAGTTTATAGAGTATTTCATTTCATCTATATTAGATCTGCTCAAAAGAAAATGGGACTGGTACATCACAAGCAACATTCTACAAACTACAGTTGCCTGGAGACATTTCAGGAAAAAGAAATCTTCAGAATATAGTCAACACCACAGTGGAGTTGTTTCATTTTCACAGACAAGACAAGCACACTTGTGTCATCTGCCTAACAGTGCACATACAGCTCACCTCAGGTTCAGCCTTTATTTCTGGAAATGTTATTGGGACAGGATCCTCTTCCTCTTCTGCATCTGAGACTGCCTCAGCTTTTACATCCATGGCCTGATTTGCATCATGAGTTGTTGGGTATGCCTCACCATATGGACCCACTAAAGTATTTTCCAATTTTGTACAGTTCTGTAAAAACCATCACATCCTTCTCAGAAATGGATGCACAACACCCTACATTAACCAGCGTATGTTCTCCTTGCTATGTTGGTTTCTTGTCACATTTAACTCATATAAGAGCTGTTCTGTACAGATGTTCTTCCCTGCAGCTATCACTAGATAGTACTCGGTTGAAACGTACCAATGTCCAGGACAGAAAAGTGGTTTGGGGTAGAAAAATATTTTAAACAATACACACACCAAATAAATATAATAATATAATAATATAATTGGTTGAGTGAAATAAAAATACAAACTGTCCCAGATGAGGATGGCACAACGTAAAACCGTGCACCAACTCCGCCATTAATTTAGCAAACCAAAAAGTTCAAGAAATAATTTGGGGACAAGACAAGCACCAGACTTTTCCACGGCGTGCAGCAGAATCCCCTTGCAGTGTTCAGACGAGCCTGCTAGTCCGTGGTGAAAGGATGAAGGGCGCAAGCATAGGGCAGGAGGAGAGGGAGTAAAGGAATGAAGGGGGGTTCTAGTTGAGGGACATGGCGGTAGTTTCTGATGTTACAGTCCTCCCCCCGAAGGAGACGCCGGGGGTGATTCCATTTACTGGGGCTCCTGCCTGTTGACGAAATGGAGTGCCAGGCCATCGTATCAGCTTTGCAGCTACCCTGCTGCCAGGCTCGATGTTAAGTGCTTGCGCTGACAGCAAGAGAACATATCTACACTGCACTACGTGGGGTTGGACGTGCAGCGCAGCCGAACCATAAGTGGGTCGCCTGGACGGACAGGGATAAGAGCCCAGGTATCTCACCCCACAAATTGGTTGCTACTTAATAAGTGCCCCGTTGTCATGTCCATAGTATGCCTGATGATGCAGTAAGCCTACAG